GTTGACTGGAGTTGTAAAACTGTGACCAACTCTTTTTGAAGGCCTGTCTCGTATTTCAGAAGATGGTTTAGCTTGTACCAGTCGTTATCAAATCATCATTAATGTCCGCATTCACTGAGAGGCTGTCTACAGGCTTAAGTGGTAAATATAGTGCATTTATATAGCACTTCACAACCACTCAAAGAGCTTTACAACACGTCAGCATTCAGCCATTCACACACATTCATAAAGAGGTTGTCATAGAAGGTTTATTTATTTATTGTTGTGCCTTCGTTTTCATTTTGTACCTCTTTATGTGTGTATATGCATATATGTGTCTATGTATGTGTGTATGTATATATATAGGTGGGTGCTCAGGTGTGTATGTATATACAGTACATATATGTATTTTTTACTTTTTATATGTATACTTTTTTCAGATTCTTTGGGACGGTGAGTAACAGCATTTCGATCTTACTGTTTGAATATCACACAGAGAAATGTACGTATTTATTACTTTTATATATTCTTTCCCACTTTGTTCTAAAACTGTTCTACAACATTTCACCTTAGGATAAATAAAGTAACTATCTTTTGTTATACTTCAGCATGTTGAAATATTACTGTACCACAGGAGACCATAACTAATAACAAATGAACATATTATTAAAGGGATTCACCTCTTCAAAAAAACATCCTTAGGGTGGTGTATTTTGTCTAACCATGTGTGCATCCCTCCCAGACTTACTGGGGTGTTTGGGCTCTATGGCCACCCGTACGATGGGCATGGCCTCCATGTTGAGAGGGATGAAGGGGGGGCAGGCGGGGGAGGTGGACAGGGTGGCTGACTTCAAGACGCACTCTTCCAGACCTCCGATACCTGAGGAGAGAGGAGAGAAGAACATCTATAGCAAACAGTGGGTATTAATTAGGCATGGGCGGTATAATTTTTTTCATACCGTCATACCTTGCTGACATCATACCGTGGTATACGGTATATGACGGTATCAGTCCCAATTTAAGGGGTAATTTCTCCCAAAAAAAAATGTTTTAGTCACTATATCAACAGCCCCACCAAAAATATTTGCCACCAGCCGCCACTGACTGTATGACTTGGGTCGGCCATTGTTACTTAGTTATACCCTTTATTCCAAAAATTGGTGTACGTGCCTATGTAGTGAGACGGGTGGTGGATGGAAATCCACTTATATCGTTTTGAAAAAGTTCATTCAGTTCATAAGATGGAATGGCCCTTTTTACAAATACATACTACTATATAACCAATTGAATCGAGTGATACCTTTGTTTGCGAGCCTTAAGATGTTTGCGCAGGGACATAAGGCTGAGTTTACATGGTAAACGTTTACACCAGACATACGTCGGAACAAAACGTGAACACGCGTGCAGCGCCCGTGAAACGCTCCGCAGGATGGCCCGAGCCCGACGTAAAATTTGCTTGGTATATTATATGCAACTTTTTTAGATAAACGGCGGCTTGCGGTGA